AGCTATGTAGTGCATTCTTGGACAGCCTGGAATACGTGGAAAAACCCTGTCTCAAAAAAACAATGAGCTGGGCCTGGTGGCACATGCATTTAATCCCAGCACTCAGGAGGGTAGAGGCAGATGGATCTTTGAGTTTGAGGCCACCTTGATTTACATAACAAGATCTAGGCCAGCCAGGGTTACATAGTGAGATGGTATCTCAAATAAATAATAAAGACAGTGGTGGTGGGTGGGGCGTGCCATGATTAATAACTGCTGTTTGTACTCTGGACTGGGACCCTTGGTATTTGATGTCTGTCCTGGCCCTGCCCTCACTGCCTTGCACTCAGTGAGCTCTGCTGGCTCCTGCCTGTTCTTGCCTTCCCGTAGACCTTCTGTGACCATTTTGTTTCCTCTTTGTCTGTGTGCGTGTGTGCATGACTGTTCATGTGGAGGTGTGAGGAGGCCAGCAGGTCATTCTTCAAGCACTATCCACCTTGTTTCTACTCTGTGTGTGTGTGTGTGTGTGTGTGTGTGTGTGTGTGTGTGTGTTGCGTGCATGCATCCAGATGGAGATCAGAGAACTTGCAGGAATTGGTTCTTTATCTACCACTTGAGTTCCAGGAACTGAACTCAGATCATCAGACTTGGCAGCAAGCACCTTTACCTGCTGAGCCATTTTGCCACCCCTCCACTTTGTTTTTTGATACAGGATCTCTCCTTAGCCTGGAGTTTGCTGAGAAGACTAGCTAAACCAGGAAGCGTCAGGGATCTGCCTGTCTCTGCCTTCCCGGTGCTGGCCGGGATTAGCAGCACAGGCCTTTTTATGTGGGTTCTGGGGTTTTGAATTCAAGTCCTCATGCTTGTGCTGCAAGTACTTTACAGACTGAGTCCCCCCCCCCCCCTTTTTTTTGGAAACAAGGCTGCTGGTCTTCCTGCCTCTTCCTCCCAACTGATAAGATTACAGGTGTAAGCCCCAGCACTCAGCCTTAATACACAAAAATTTTCCTTTATTTAGTGCGCATGTATATGTATGTGGGGACCGCATTTGAGAGTGGGTTCTCTCCTTCCACCATGTGGGTTCTGGGGACCAAACTCAGGTTGTCAGGCTTACTGGCAAGTCCCTTTCCTGGGTGAGCCGGGTTTCTCTGGTGCTGTGATTTTCTTTTGTTGTGTGCATTTAGTGTCACACTTAAACCACCAGCGAATTCAAGGTCATGAAGTTACTTCTGTTTTTCTTCTAAGAGTTTTGTTATTTTGAGACAAGGTCTCTCTATGGTTCCTTGCTGTCCTGGAGCTCACTATGTAGACCAGGCTGTTGTAGGACTTATATTCTCCTGCCTCTGCCCCCTGAGTACTGGGACTAAAAGTGTGTGCCACCGTGCCCAGCTCTTTAAAGATTTTTATAGCCTCAGCTCTTACAATTAAATCTTTGCCCTATTTTGAGTGAATTTTATTTTATTTTATTTTATTATTTTTTTTTTTTTTGGTTTTTTCGAGACAGGGTTTCTCTGTGTAGCTTTGCGCCTTTCCTGGGACTCACTTTGTAGTCCAGGCTGGCCTCGAACTCACAGAGATCCGCCTGCCTCTGCCTCCCGAGTGCTGGGATTAAAGGCGTGCGCCACCACCGCCCGGCTTTGAGTGAATTTTAATATATGATTGAAGTAAGGACCAGTTATCCCAGTACCATTTGTAAAGAGACTATCAGTTCCCCTTTGGGATGTTAAATTTTTTTTTTGTTCCATTTATTTATTTATTGAGTTAGGGGACACATATGCCAGGACATGGTATGAAGGTCCAATGATTAAAAAAAAAGGGCGGGGGGGAGGGGGGGAGACTAGGGCTGAGATGTCTCAGTGGTTAAGAGCACTGGCTGCTTTTCCAGAGGACCTGGGTTCAATTCCCAACAGCCACATGGCAGCTCACAACTGTCTATAACTCCAGTTTCAGAGGATCTGACAGCCTCACATAGACACAATGATACACAGAAAAAAAATAAACCATTCGGTGTATCTGGACTCGGAAGCCTATGGTGTTACTGTCTTCATGCTGTTCCCACACTGCTTTTGATGATTGTAGCTTTGTTGTAAGTTTTGAAGTCAGGCGGCTAAGGACACTGAGGCCGGGGGGATGACATCATCACTAAAGGCAGAGGGCCTGATGGTGGAAGCTGAGGCGACAAGGTAAAGGCCGCAGGCTGGCCAGTACTCTTCTCCCCAGAGTCCTCTCCGCAGAGCCAATGTCTTTCCTGTCCCCACCCTCAATCAGCAACATACACTGAGCCTTCGGCTGACCCTGACCAGGCAGCTGCCATACCTCCTTTCTAGACCTCACTGGGCCAGAAGGATTTCCATGTGACTCCACCTCTGAGACTTCAGGAGAGGTCACACTGGAGCAGTGTGGGCCTATCCGTGCTCACAGCCTGGTCTTTCAGAGGAAGGTCATTAAACCACAAGACTCCTGCGCTGCAGGGAGATGCCCAGGTGGTGGCCAGGACACAGCCATTTGGGAAAGTGCCCTTATGACTTCGGAGTCTCAGTCTCACCTCTGGTTTCTCCCTTCGCAGTGGTTGGCTTGCAGCCTTGTCTACACTGCACGATGGGCCCTTAGCTGTGTCCATCATCATGATGGTAGTGGCCGGCTTCTTTACCCTCTGTGCTGGGCTCTCACTCTTCCTCCTGCAGCGGGTAAGTAGGGCGTGAACCAACAACAAACACAAGGAAGAGGTCCATCTCTCCTGAGTGGACGTCTAAATATTCCTTGTCCCTGAAGTCCTCAGTAGCCTAACATCTTTGTCCGAGGCTCCGGGTGAGCAGCCAGGCAGGGTTGCACTCTTGGGGGCCCTTTTGGGAGCATACCCTGATGGCTCGGATTGCTCTGGGCTCTTCTCACCCCGGCCTTGTTCCCTAGGTTCATGCCTTCTACCGCCGAACAGGAGCCAGCTTCCAGCAGGCTCAGGAAGAGTTTTCCCAGGGCATCTTCAGCAACAGGACCTTCCGCAGTGCTGCTTCGTCCGCCGCCCGAGGAACCTTCCAGGGGAACTAGTCTTCCCGACTCTCCTTCCCTCACCCCAGCCTCTTCTGTCACCTGCCTTCTGAGCTGCACTTTCCGTGGGTGCCTTACACAGTGGTTCTGCCCAGCACAGACGTGGCAGGGATTTTGTCTTGTCTCTGCTCCTTCCTCAGTAGTCAGCTTTCCCTTCCACGTAAGGGAAGGGAGGAAGGGACAGGGACAAGGGAAAAGGAAAAATAACAAAGCTGTCTTTTCTTTTCTGACGGTGGATTTTCTGACGGTAGGATTTTGTCTGGAAGCAGTGGGGCCGATTGCCTTGAAAACAAACGCACTCACGTGCGTGTGGATTCACGTCCCCCACTCAGGATCCTTGGCGGGCCTGGGCTCACTGGAGCAGGAATTTTCCATAGGCATCCTGGACTCCACTCCTCCCTCTGCAGGCTCGACCTGTACTGGGCCTCCACGGGCTCACCTTTCATGCTTAGGCTTCATAAGCCTTCCCAGGGCTCCACTTGGGTGAGCTGTGTTCTGGTCGGGTGTGCAGATGCTCCTCACGTTGCCTTCACATGGTCTCTGGGTGTTCCTCACAGTAGTCATGACCCTCCATGCCTGCTCTGTCCCACGGTATAATAGCACCTTGTGCCCTCTGGGGGCCTTCATGAGCCCTTCTCTTCAGACTTCTGAGTGGGGCTGGTTGGGACTTGGGGATTGCCAGGGACTGACGACAGTCCTTGTCCTGCCCAGCCTCTGGCAGTCTTCTGAGAGGGTAGGTGTCATTTGACCTGTTTGTTTTGGCTTCTGTCCTGAGGGACTCTGCCCCTCTGCCTCAGCCTTTCTCCTGCCCCATCTTCAGCAATTCTCACCTCTTACAACTCTTAGGGTGGCTGGAGGAAGTGAGTCCAGAGCTAGGTCCTGCAGGCAGGACTGCTGAGCCATCTTCCGGAGGGTTCCTCCCACACTCACAGTGGACTCAAGGCCCTTCCCACTTGTCCTGGGGACTCCACAGGTGTGTCACTGCCGTGGCACTTGGGTCACTGTTGAAACCTGGACCCAGTGTTGTGCCAGTGCTGCAGGAGATCACCAAGATGGCCAGCCTCCTGCCTCCGGGAACTGGGCCCTCCTGAGGCTACCCTCATGCTGTCAGCCCATTTATCCCTAGAGCCACTGAATGGTGATGACAGCCACCAGGGTTTTGTAAACTTTCTGGTATTTTCCTCCATGTACAAATGTATATGTCATGTCTCGATTTTTGTGCTTAAATAAAAATAAGATTTTCGGACAGTGCTGGTCCTGATGTCTCTGGTGGACTTGGGAGGACTGTGGCCTACTGAAGTTTGGGCTGAGGGCCTACTAAGATAGGTGAGGTGACAATTAAGATCCTTGGCAGCTGGACTGTGAGAGACTGCTAAGCCACTCAGCTCCGAGGAGGAATCTCTTCAAGAAAGGCAGAAGGGAGGACTCTGGCAATGGTAACTTGGCTCTTCCATAGGTATTTTAAAAAAATTATTCTTAGCCAGGCATGGTGGTGCACCTTTAGTTCCAGCCACTCGGAGGCAGAGGCAGGCTGATCTCTGACCAACCTGGTCCACAGAGTGAGTTCCAGGACAGCCAGGGCTACACAGAGAAACCCTTGTCTCGAAAACCAGTATTTTTTTTTTTTATCCTATTGTGTGTGTGCCAGAGTGTGTGTGGTGATCAGAGAACAACTTGCCGGAGTCGGTTCTCCTTCACCCAGTGGGACCCAGGGATCTCCCTCCCCATCCCACTGTTTCTGATCTTAGCAGAACGCCAGGCTCTGCATCCCGCCCCCAACGTGGGTGGTCTCTAGGATGCGGTGTGCCGAGAGAGGGTTTCCCATGTGATAGTGTCCTCAATCCTCGACCCACTTCCGCTACGCCCACTGAAGCCTCGGTGTCTGAAAGCCGGCTTGGCAGTCCTTGGCAGAAGGTGTCACCATGCCCGCGCGGCAGGCGGGGAGGAGCTCCGGAGGGGCGGGGTCGGGCTGCGCTTCCGGCGGGCGGCGCTCGGGCCGTGCGGAGTCCCGCCCCGCCGCCCCTCGAGCGCCCCCACTTTCGCTTCTGGCCGGAACCTGCGCCCCGATCCAGGAAGCACCTGGCGGCGGGCGAGGGATGGCTGGGCCCGGCTGGGGGCTTCCTCGGCTGGACGGTTTCATCCTTACCGAGCGCCTGGGCAGTGGCACGTACGCCACGGTGTACAAGGCCTACGCCAAGGTGGGTGTGGGCGGGCCGTGCCCGAGGTGTCCTGGCGCCGGGCACCCGGCTCCTGTGCCAGCCAACCCCCAGCAAGCCCGGCTGGGTGACAGGCCGGCCGGAGCAGGAGCGAGGCGGCCGCCTGGCCTCCGGCGGGTGGAAGAGGCTGGAGCCGACTGCCCCTCTTAGGTTTAAAAACAAACACACGCCAGTTTGCTCTGGAAGGGTGGGCGAAGACCTGAGGGAACCTCGGTGTCAGTGGCTGAAGAACCGGCTCCCCTTGGAAGTCGCCTTCGGGGCTGGGAGGAGTCTGAGACCAGACTCCCAGGAGGCAGGACCAGTTAGTTAGAAGGCACAGTGGCCAGTGACGTGCCTTTTTCTGGCCACTCTAGAATGTACTGCTGTGGGTTGGAGAACACTTGCTGGGCTGGGAAGCCAGGATTCCAGAATCCGGATGCCTCATTGATTTGATAAGGGGAAGCTGGGAGACTTGGAGGCTTGTGAAGAGTGGATAGACCCAGGCAGGGGGGAGGTTGCAGAGGGATCCAGAGCCCCCTCGAGCCCATGGGGCAGGTCCCCTCAAGATAGAGAGACCCAAATTTCCTGTCCCACAGAAGGACACTCGGGAGGTGGTAGCCATAAAATGCGTGGCCAAGAAAAGTCTCAACAAGGCATCTGTGGAAAACCTCCTGACTGAGATTGAGATCCTCAAGGGCATTCGGCACCCCCATATTGTGCAGCTGAAAGACTTCCAGGTGTGAGCCTGGGGCGGGGCTCCCTCCACAGGAGGCTGGAGAAGGGATGCTGCCTACAGCTGCCTCTTTACTTCCAACCACAGTGGGACAATGACAATATCTACCTCATCATGGAGTTCTGCGCAGGGGGCGACCTGTCTCGCTTCATCCACACCCGCAGGATCCTGCCTGAGAAGGTGGCGCGAGTTTTCCTGCAGCAGCTGGGTAAAAGCCAACGGCGCACCCCGTGTTCTTTTCTCCCCTACCCTAACGCTTTGCAGTCTCCCGTGTTTGTGTCCCTAGCATCTGTGGGGGAGTTCGGGCTTCCACATGTGGAGCATGATGTAAGAACCTTGTAGAATCTTCCAGGGCCCAGTAGGTGGAACCCGAGTGCTTTCGTGAGGAAGAATGCAAAAATCCTAAAGGGCTTGGGCTTTTCCGGAGGCTCCTGGAAGGGAGGGGGCGGGGTCTTATGAAGGGTGCAAAGAGCAGGCATTTGGGGAAACTCTCAGAAGTGGCAGAATTCCAGGTGGTGGCGGCACGTGTCTTTAAAAGTGGCGGGAGTCTGGTGCTTCTGTGTAGTCTGTAGACCAGCCAGGAGAAAACTGCAGTAATGCAGCTGGGGGAGGGTAGATGGGAGCCTGGGGCGGGCAGAGGCAGGTGGGAACTAGGCTCTGATTCATTTTCATGGGGTGGGCTCCCCAGCTAGTGCCCTGAAGTTCCTGCATGAACGAAACATCTCTCATCTGGATCTGAAGCCACAGAACATTCTGCTGAGCTCTTTGGAGAAGCCCCATCTGAAACTGGCAGGTCTGGGTCTGGGACAGCAGGGCGAGGTTTCAGAAGGGGTAAAGGGCTCCTTGCTGGGCTCCCTCAGCACCCTAGTCCCCAGGGGGCTCTCTGTGAAGTCAGTGGTGACAGGTCAGGGGATACAGGGCTGAGCCCATCACCACAAGGTAGCACCGGTTCTCAGGCTGCACACACTGAAGTCCTGTGGTGTTGTGGGTGGAGTTAGGGATCACGCTGGGTCAGAGTTGGGGCTCAGTCTGGAAATAACGCCAGTATGTGACCAGCATCCAGCATCAGTCTGTGAGCAGGGACCCAACTTAATCTGTCATTAGGATTGGGGCTGAGTCTGGACAGCTGAGGAGAATATGGCAGTGGAAGGGTGGTTGTGGCCTCTGATAAGATTTGAAAAAGAATGGGTTGAGTTTGGAGGCCAGAGCACATGACATAGCTTAATCCTGGGGGAGAGGCAGGGGGGCTCTCAATGCACATTGTGTTTTGAGACAGGCTTCTTAGGAGAAGGTGCTTGAGGGGCTGTGTGCCACGAGGGGGTTTCTACCCCAGAGGGTGATAGAGGCCGAGTGCTGTGGGCCAGTGGCCCAGGGGAGGAGGCAGGAGCAATCCAGGGAGCCTAGGAGCTCTGGGAGGTGCTCTGACTGGAGTCTCAGTAGCAGCTGGGATTTGAACCCTGTGCCTGGCCTCTTGCCTGCAGACTTTGGCTTTGCACAACACATGTCTCCGTGGGACGAGAAACACGTGCTTCGGGGCTCCCCACTCTACATGGCTCCCGAGATGGTGTGCCGGCGGCAGTACGACGCCCGTGTGGACCTCTGGTCCGTGGGGGTCATCCTGTATGGTGAGACCTTTGTCCCCTTGCTCTCCACCCCGATTGTTCTGCATTTGGGCAAGGCTTCTCCCGGCCCCTCCTGGGTTCTAATGAGAATTGAGGGACTCTACTCTGAGGAATTTTGGTTCCCGTCCCAGGGGTGGGCGAGGCAAGACTTAACCCTGTTTCCTTCCAGCCCCCCCCCCCACCTCTGCCTTCTTCCGCAGAAGCCCTCTTCGGGAAGCCCCCCTTTGCCTCCAGATCGTTCTCAGAGCTGGAAGAAAAGATCCGCAGCAATCGAGTTATTGAGGTGCGTCTCGCAGGGAGGGTCTTGGCATCCACCAGGGACTGAGGGGTTCAAGGCCCTAAGGTTTTTATTACACCACTACAGACTGCAGTCTAGGCTCCAGGCCTTTCATGGTGCTGGGGCATGCTCTGCAGTGGGAGCCTAGATTCTGGTCCGTTCCTGGGGATCCAGATCAGCCACACAGGCAATAAATGACCTATGGGGGAAAGGTCATGATGGAGCCAGGCCTAGTCTTCCCATAGTCCAGGGCTGGAGGCAAATTCCCAGGATGTTTGGCTCTCTTCCCGTTCATCACCAGGACCTGCCACATGCTCCCCAGGTCTCAGATAACCCACCGACAAACGTGTGCCCCTTAGGGGAGTTCCTAAAGGGTCTCGGGCTTTGGACTCAGATGCTGGAGCCCAGTGGGATGTGCGCCTGCTCTGTTCCTCTGCAGCTCCCCCTTCGGCCCCAGCTCTCCCTAGACTGCCGTGACCTCCTGCAGCGCCTCCTAGAACGGGACCCCAGCCGCCGGATCTCCTTCCAGGACTTCTTCGCCCACCCCTGGGTGGATCTGGAGCACATGCCCAGTGGGGAAAGCCTGGCGAGAGCAGTAAGCAGACCAGTGGGGATGGGGTGAGCTGGGTCTCACTTGCCTGCGCTGGTGGGGAGCCGGCCCACGGGAGCTGAGCCGGTGGCCACGAGGAGGTGGAGTTCTGAGTGATGATGCTGGTTGGTGTGGCGTTAGGAAGTTCGGTCTGACTGCTGCTCCTCCTGTCCCCCAGACAGCCCTTGTGGTGGAGGCTGTGAAGAAGGACCAGGAGGGGGACGCTGCTGCAGCCCTGTCCCTCTACTGCAAGGCTCTGGACTTCTTTGTACCTGCCCTGCACTGTGAGGCCCAGACCCTTCCTCTAACCTGGGTACAGAAGGGGCAGGAATGGGGTCGTGCTCCCCATTCAGCACCTTAGGGGAGACAGTGCAGAAGATAAACCTGGGGCTCGTGTCTGAGGAGTGCAGAGGGCTGACTGTGGGCCAGGGGTTCCCATACAGACTCCTCATAGGAGCTCTTCCCCTTCTGCAGACGAAGTGGATGCCCAGCGGAAGGAGGCAATTAAGGCCAAGGTAGGGTGGTCTCCCCAGGAGGAAGTGGATGGACATGGAGGGAGAGGACAAGCCTCTGACAGATGTAGAAACTCCTCTCTCACAACATAGGGCTTGTTTAATGTCTGACCTGTTTTGTGCGAGGCAGTCACTGAGGACCGGAGGCAAACTTGGAGGGGGGGTGCTGGCCAGCAGGACAACCCTCAGCCCCTCATTCCCTTACAGGTAGGGCAGTATGTGTCCCGGGCGGAGGAGCTCAAAGCCATCGTCTCCTCCTCCAATCAGGCCCTGCTAAGGCAGGACACATCTGTCCAAGGCCTGCTGCGAGGTAGGCTGCAGTTCCTGGTCCATGTACGAGTCCTGGTGACCCCACTTCGTCTTGACAGGGAGACTGAGGTGGGCTTTCTGTGAACAAAACAACAGGCTGCCCCCCTCACTGTGAGCCTTTCCTCTCCCATCAGAGATGGCCCGGGACAAGCCTCGCCTCCTTGCTGCCCTGGAAGTGGCCTCAGCTGCCATGGCCAAGGTTTGTGCTCACTGGGAGGAGCCAGGTGGGACAGGAAGGAAACCAAGGCACAACATGGAATAATGCGTTGCCCCTCTGGCCGTAGGAGGAGGAAGCTGGCAAGGAGCAGGATGCCCTGGACCTGTACCAGCACAGCCTCGGGGAGCTGCTACTGCTGTTGGCAGGTAAGGCTGCAGCACCCCTGCTGCTCCCCCCCCCCACTGTCCTGTCCTCACTGACTCCCCTCTCTCTACAGCAGAAGCCCCAGGCCGAAGACGGGAGCTCCTTCACACTGAGGTACTCAATGCGATGGGAGTCAGAGTGCGTGTGGTCTGTCCGCTCCTTTTACTCAGCTCGTGTCTCTTCTCTGGGACCTCTTTAGATTACATATGGAGTTCCCCTGCTCTTGGGTATTCCAAGACCAGAGGCCAGCCTCAGAATTGTGAAGTCAGTGAGGCTGGACTTCAGGTCACTGGATAAACCAAAAGCCTGCTGGGCTCCTGCAGCCGGGGGAGCAAACAGAGGGTCAGAGACAGGGCGGAGGGCTCTCTGAGCGTCAGGGGTGAGGGGGCAGTCGGTTTGACGCCCACACACTGCTAGGCATGCCTTCTCTCGGCAGGTTCAGAACCTCATGGCTCGAGCTGAGTACCTGAAAGAGCAGATCAAGGTGGGCATGCATGGGCCACCCTGGGCAGAGTTGTGGGTCCTTCCTCCTCGTGGTTGTGGATGCACTGTGGCTTCCGAGTCGAGCTGTCTGCCTTACCCCTTGGCCTCCTTTCCATCCCACAGATAAGGGAATCTCACTGGGAAGCAGAGACTCTGGACAAAGAGGGGCTGTCGGAGTCTGTTCGGAGCTGTGAGTCCTGCCCTGGGGTCTGACAGCCCATAACAGGGTTCTGCCTCTCTTGCCGAAGACCCAAGCCTGACTTTTCCCTTTCATCTCTCCTAGCCTGCACACTACAGTGACAGCAGAAGGCCTAGTGGATAGAACACAAGTCTAGAGAGAAGCTATGTACCAACCCAGGTTCACACCTGTGCACCTGGGCCCTTCCTGGATGAACCCCTCAAGATGTTCACATCCTAGTTCCCAGTGTTCCTCTGAATGTTCTCCACCCCTGGAGGCTCTGGGGGCCCATGTACTGTGCCAGGTGTACTGAACTCGGGGAGAACTACAATACTATGACTTTGTTAGGAGGTGACTGCTGGCCTAAGCCTGTCGGCTTCAGGACATCATCACACTGTGTGTATTTTGCTCTGCAAAGAGGACACCATGCCTCTTCAGGGCACCTCTGTTCCTTCCCTGCTACCAGGCAGCTGCTGTACCTGGGCCAACCCTTCCTGGGAGCCTTTATTTCAACCTACTCCCTTCTTGCACTGGAATGGGACACTCCAGTACCCCTCAGGGACTACCTACCCTACAGGATGCACTCAGCCCTGCAGAATTCTCTAGTCTTCTGGGAGTGCACACCTGCCATCCTTTCCAGTACTTTAAGACAATCCTTCATGCATGAATGTCATGTCCTTTGTAGGGGTGGGGTACATGTGAGAATTCCAGGACCCCCCACCCTGCGCAGGCTTTCTTTCTTTCTTTCTTTCTTTCTTTCTTTCTTTCTTTCTTTCTTTCTTTCTTTCTTTCTTTCTTTCTTTTTCTTTCTTTTTTCTTTTTTTTGTTTTTCGAGACAGGTTTCTCTGTGTAGTTTTACACCTTTCCTGGAACTCACTTTGTAGACCAGGCTGGCCTCGAACTCACAGAGATCGGCCTGGCAGGCGTTATTTCTAAAGTCAGAGAATGTTGGTGATTTCTAATCATTCTGCCTCCTTAGGACAAAGTGGAGCCTTGCCGGAGGCTGGGTGTATATAAAGAATGCAGTTCACTGTTCTTTATTAAATTATTTTCCATACTCATACATCTCTTCTTGCCTTGGAAAAATAGGTGAAGTGGCCCTGCTCATAGCCCAGGAAAAGCTGGGGAAGCTGAGGAGGTTAGTCCCAGAGGGAGATGACAGATGTACATCTGCCTTTAGTCTCTGGGGATCCAAGAGTCCCACTGACTGCCACCATTCCGGCCCTAGTGTGTGTTGGGGAGGAGCAGGGCTGGACAGACCTGGGAGCCCAGCCAGGCTCTTGCTCTGCATACCTCAGCTTAGTGGCAAGTGGCAAGCCCTTTAGAACACTCCTGTCCACCATCCCACACTGCACACTCCATGTCCATCCAGTGTCCCAAGCCTCTCCTTCCTTCTCACTCTGGCCCGTGACTGAGCAGCAAGCTGGGTTTCAGGAAAAGGGGATCTTTTAGGGTTTCTTCTCCTCATACCTAGTCCCCCAAAGGTCCCTAGACTGAGGTGATTTCCAGCAGTCTCTTGCCTTAATGATTCTCGGGCCTGTTACCGTGGGTCTGATACAGGAGGAGCCAAGTCAGAAAGAATGAATTTTCTGAAGCCTTTGGCCTAGCCATTGTGGGCCAGTGTGGAACAGTGTCCTGTAGGGCAGAGGGAACTACTGAAGCCATGGTTCTGTTCCTTGGCCCAGTGCTTGGACTGCACAGTTAGTCTGTTGGTGATAAGGCAGTGTATATAGGCCTGACATATAGCCTGAGTACAATAAAATGTTATTTTCAAATGTAGGGAGAAAATCATACTTCACATTTTCTCTGGAAACGGAGCAGATGAAAAGTTTCAGTAAGAAGAATTAAGGAAAAGGAGGAGGGATGAGTGGAGAAGACAGGCTGACAGGAAGGGTGAAGCTTAGGAAAGGACAAGGACATCGTGTCTTTAGACAGTTTACTGTGATAGCTACATTGGCCAGCTGTCTGGAACAGGGGCCTGAAATTCTTACACAGGTGTCTGAGGAGTAGGCCCGCATGGGACACCCAGTACAGGAAGGGCATGGGAGTCCGAGGCTCTGGGAAGGGCTTCTTCCAAGCGTTGAATTGATGTCCTCCAGGACATCCTGTTGCCAAGATACCTGGGAAGCAACTGACTAGTCTGGGAGCTGGAGCAAGCGGGGAGGCGGCTGCGGAGAGCTTTTCTAGTGGCACAGGCCTAAAGGAAGCTCAAGATCAGCTTTCCAAATACTTTCATCTGAGAGAGAGAGAGAATTGCTGCCACTTTGTACCTTCAGGGCATTCAAAAATGTCAACTGGAGCTCTATGTCCGTGTCCTCCCATCTCTGCTCACCCAGTACCATACTGAGCCAAGGACACCACCTGGGACCCGACCTCCCATTTTCCCAAAGGCCGGCCCTTGGAGGAGCTTATAAGCCTCAGGAGTAGACCGAGGGATCCCTTGGATATGTGGGGAAGGATATACAGTCTTAGTTCATGAAGGAGATCTGGAAGGACTCTAGCTCCAGAGGCCAAGTTGCTGTCCTAGGCTTCTCAGAGGGATGTGGCCCCCCCACTCTGAAGCTGAGACAGGAGGGTGAGGCACATCAATGGCCACCTTTCTCCATAGGAATTCATAGTATCAATTCATAGTACCTCGCTATCATTTGAAATGCCAAACACACAGAGACAGAAACAAAGCTATGGCTGAGCTCACATGCAGACCTACATTCATGGTTCCAGAAATGCAGGCACAGGTCTTGCTGAGGGAGGCAGAGGCAGCCTCAGCAGTGATACACTCCTGGACCCGGGCCAGTGGCCTCCTCACACCTCACACAAACTCTGGGGATAGCAATGCCTTGCAGTCACGGGATTAGAGGCAGGACTGTAGGCCCCCCAGCTCCCCAGCCCAGTCGCAACCTCAGCTCTGAGGGACAGAGGACAGAAGCTCCCCCCCCAGTGCTGAGCTGAGCGTCAGCTGGGTCAATAGGCACTGTCAAGAGCTCAGCTGGACAAGTGAATATGCCCCAGATGTCCCCAGTGCCTGCCTAGGGCTTCCAGTGTCTGAGGAGGGACCATCTGGCTGTTGGGAGAAAGGGAGATCCTGCACATTCCAAACCCTGGCCACCCTCCCCACCCCCGCCCTGGGAAACAGCTGGCCTTAGAAAGCCACTTGTTATTTCTGCGTTCCTCTTCCCACTGGGAGCTGGGCCTGAGCTGCCTGGGTGGGTGGGAGGCAGGGAACGCAGACTGGAGGCTCCTGAGGTGGGGTCCAGAGGTGCCACTAATTTCTCTGGAACCCTGTGCCTTGTAGAGCCAGAGAACTTGATGTGTATGCTATGGGGCAGGAGGAACAGGCTGTGTATTTTGATCTCCCCTGTCCTGGGATATTCTTCCCTCAGAATCCCTCCTCAGTTCTGGGGATTCTTCTCATTTTTCCTTAAATCTACACTTGCTCTGGGTGGGGTCAGGGAGTAAGAAGAATCGGGGCCAGAAAAACTCCTTTTCATCACCTTTGTGCATTTCCTACGTCCTGCAAGGGAAGGAAGGAAGGAGAGAGGGAGAAGGAGCAGGAGGATGGCCTATTTGGAGAGGAGGTGGTTAGGCTCTGTTACAAGGGAAATGTTGGAGGCAAATGGCTCCCTTTGTGGTCTTCGTTTCCTATCAGATGGGTGGGCCAGTCCTGGAGCATGTGATATATATATATATATATGTATATGTATATGTATATGTATATGTATATGTATATGTATATGTATATGTATATGTATATAGAGATAGAGATAGAGATATAGATATAGATATTATAAAATAAGAGTGGAAGCAGGATGGGAGAGCTGGAGCTTGAGTGCCTTCCTCTAGGGCCTGTGCAGAAGACAGCTCCAGTTTGGCTGGGTTAGCCGCTCCCTGTGAAGGGCATGGAACCAAGAATGAGGATGGTATTGGGGGATGCAGAGGAGCACATGGATGGACAGAAAAATCCAGTAGCTCAGCTGACAGAGATGGGGTGGGGCTCGGCCTTCCTCCCTTACCCATCTTTGCCTGAGCTCCAGACTGGTTCTTTTGCCTAGAGCCCCCCATTCCCGGGACACAACAGACAGACAGGTCAGGGCCTCGGAGTTCCTGGGATGTGAGTGGGGAATCAGTGAGGAGGCAGAGTCCCCTCCCACTTCCTGACCTCAGGCACCAAACAGCCCTGCTTTGACAGGGTTCAGTGAGTGTCCCCAAGCATCCCTACCACCTGACCTGCCAGGCTGGCCTCCTTCTCAGCTAGCAAAGCACTGAGGGGGAAGGGGCTGTCCAATCCCATTAGGCAGAAGGCCCCTGAGGGTGGAGGGCTGACGTGGACCCTGCTGTTGATGCTGCCCAGGCAGCCCATGCTCCCCCCCACCCCCAGCTTGGGGCTCCTCTGGGAAGGTCAGAGAGGGTTTTGTCCAGTGGCTGCTAAGCGCTTCCCCAGGGGGTGGACCAGGAACATCTCAGAGGCTCAGATGCCTCCTTAGGATGCTCAAAGGATGCCCAGTGTGATAGCCCCAAGCAGTCCCCAGTGTTTCCCTCCCTTATTTTCGGGGCATAGATCCCTTCTGTCCTCACCCCTTAATTTTTCCTGCCTCTTTCTCTCAGCTCTTCTACCTCAGCATTACCTACTCTTGCTTATTTTACAGGGAGACCCAATGGGAACTTTGCCCTTGAAAACAAACTGTCTTTCCTGCCTGTAATAGTGATGGCTTCCTCACAGGTCTGCACTTAGCTGGAGAGGCCAGGAGGCACCAGGTGCCTGTAGCGCTTTCCTTCTGCCTGACAAGCCCCTGGGATGACCCACTGGAGCAGCTATTTGGAACTTCCAGAACACCATCCCCACCCTGCCTGCCAGCCACCAGAGTGTGATGACATTTGGAGTCTTCCTTTAAGAGAAACATTTTTCTCTTTTGATTCTTCACTAAAGTCTTACGTAGTGTTGCTGCACATCTGCAATCCTAGCACTTGGGAGGCTAAATCAGGAAGATTAAAGTTCCAGACTAGCCTCGGCTAGATAGTGAGATCCCCTCTCAAATACAAAGGGGCTGGAGAGATGGCTCAGTGGTTAAGAGCACTGGCTGCCCTGCCAGATCAGATTCAATTCCCAGCACCCCATGGCAACTCAAAACCATCTACAGCTCCAGTTCCAGGGATATCTGACGCCCTCTTCTGGCCTCCTTGGTCACCAGGAACACCCATGGTGCACAGATACATTCAGACAAACACTCATACACATAAAATGATAAATTTAAAAACATGGAACACAGAAGGTTGAGGATACAGCCCAGTTGGTAAAAGTGCTTGCCTAACATGCACAAAGCCCTCAGTTAGATTCCAAGCACAGCCTAAACTGGGTGTGGTGGCCCATTCCTGTAATCAAGGTACTCGGGAAGTAGAGGCAAGATGATCAGAGGTCCAAGATCATCACTGCCTACACAGAAGTTTGAGGCCAGTCTGAACTACGTGAGACTCTGTCTCAAACAAAACAAAATAACATTAATACCAACCAACCAACACAGAGAGAGGGCGGGAGAGAGAGAAAGAGAGAAGAAACCCAGCAGAAACAATAATTCACTGCCTAAGCTCTTTGAGGGCACCAGCTTCCAGTCTCAGGCCACCTCCCCGCCAGGTGCCAGGGACTAACGCTGCCCTCCCTAGCAGGTCTCACTCCGTGTAGCATGGCTGTTGATCCCTCCACCTCTGCTAAAAACTGTTACCACGACTGATAGAGGGCATTCTTAAGGGCGTGGGTGGGGCTCAGTGGTAGAACACTTGCCTTAGTATGCAGTGTATGAGGCCCTGGGCCCCCAGCAGCACCAAGAAAAGAATGAAAAACCAATGGCCACTCTTTGAAACACGTTTATTATGCTTGGGGAAGAGAACTCTTCATTTTACTAGGGCAGCACAGGCTCAGAGGAGCAAAGGACCTACTTAGGGACACACAGCAGAGCCAGGCTGGCCCACGGTGATCCTTTTTGCTGTTTCGTTCTCCATCTCTTAGGTGAGGGGACACTACAGGACAGATGTCAGAGACAGCCCTCTCTCTAACCTCAGGAAACACCTTCCCATGCTCCTCTCCATCCAGCTGGCTGCCGCCCCCTCCTCTGACTCCTGGTGCTTAGACCTACTTCATCCATCCCACAGTGCATCTGCTCCCTCAGGGAAGCCCCTACCCTCACAGTCGACCCTGAGAGGGCATTCTTAAAGGGACTGACCCTGAAGAGTCCCACAGGAGCCCCCTTTTCCCATTCCTCTCCTAAGGCCCTCTGAAGCTGCGGGGGAAGAGGTAGAGGAGACCCCTCTCTGAGGGCAGGATTGGGGCCTGTGAACTCCCAGTCAGCAGGAAGATAGCCATGCCATTTGGAATTTTTATTTCCACTGAACGAGAAGAGGAAATTCCAACTATGGAATCCAGAGAATTCTACAGGAACAGAACAAATTTTGGCTGGGCCCTGGGCCCAGAGAAGGTCTGGAGCTGCTTGAGCTACTGTTCAGTGCCAGCTCCCTCCTTGGCACTCAGCCCCTCACACAGCCTTGCTCCGTTCCCAGAGCCCACAGTGGCAGCTGTGTGGTGCTGTGGCTGCAGCTGCTGCCCTGCCCAAGAAGGGATGTGAGCTCTGCTCTGAGTGGCCAGGGATGCCAATCAGGAGGGAATTTTAGAAATCACTCAGTCCAGCCCCATTTCACAGAGGACAAGATGAAACCCGGAAGGAACAGCTTCTAGGATGACAAAGGTGGGGGTAGGAACGGGCCTCCTGGGTGCCCAGAGTCCCTCTGAGCATCCAAGCGCTGGTACCTGGAGGGGCTGGGAACCCAAGGGGAGTGTGTCTATGTGTGCCAGGGTGCATCTGTGGCAAATGAGCCAGGGCTTCTGTGTCCTTCTGTGAGTGCTCTTGTGTGAAAGAACAAGGAGCTGTACCCAGAGAGGGCTGGGCTAATCCTACCAACTTGGGAAACTTTCCAGGCAGAAGAGGGAGAGGGAAGGATGGGAACTCTGCTGGCAATAGAGAGGGAGAGGCTGGACATGGATGAGAAGGCTCTGGGCCTAGGCCAGGGCAGGGGGGGGGAAAGCCCAAGATGGAGTGGAGGTATCTGGAAGTTGAGACACTCTCTTAGCCCTCATGTGGGACCAGCCCTCTGGCCATCCCAGAGACAACCCCAGGGGAAGTGGTCACATGATGTGGCACTTCTCAGCTGATTGCTTGAGGTCCCCTAGGGTAGTCTGGGCCTTGTCCTTGAGTGAGCCCAGGTCCAAGCCAGGGAGGCTGGCCAGCTGCCCCAGCACAGAGGCCTTATCCTCCTCTTCCTCCGTGTCCTCCTCGATCATCTTGGCTAGCTCCCGAGGCAGCTCCACGTCTCCACCTGCCAGCTGGATCTGGCTTTCATCTGTCTCGTTCTGAAGGGAAGAGAGATGAGACAAGGGTGGAGGTCTAGGAGGACCCTAGACCCTAGGAGGTCTAGGCTGGGCTCTGGGGCCCTGGATTCATGGAGGCCGTATTCCCTTGAGGTGAGCATCTGCCCCCACATCTGAGTTAAGCCTTCCATGGGTGGACGTGGAGACTTTGCACTTTCAAACCTTGCAGCTTTTGCACTGCCTAATTCACCTGAGATACTGAAGGATCAGCAGAGAGACTAGATCAAAAGGAAAACGTCACTCTGTTATAGTAGGCTGAGTCATGTGTTGACCATGGCTAACTACACTGAATGGCAAGAAAGACAGTACCATTTATCAATACCTAGTCTATCATTGACAATGATCTAGGTGCTTTTAATGTTTCTTTTTTAGATTTATTTTATTATTTTGATGTGTATGTGCTCGTGTGTAGGGGTGCCCATGGAGGCCTGAAGAGGGCATTAGACCCCTGGATCTGGAGTTACGGGCAATTGTGAGTTTCTGATGTACATGCTGGGAACTAAACTCCAGTCTTCTGCAAGAGCATCAAGTGGTTTTAACCACTGAGCCATCTCTCTAACACCAAGAATGCTTTTTTTTTTTGCAACTAAAAATATCTAGGAAAATGTCATGGTGACGTACACCTTTAATCCCAGCAGGCAGAGGCAGGTGGATCTCTGAATTTGAGGCCAACCTGGTCTACAGAGCTACAAAGCAAGTTCCAGGGCATCAAGGGCTACACAAAGAAACCCTGTCTCAAAAACAAAACAAACAAACAAAAATAAAACTAGGCAAAGCCAGAGTGGTGGCACACGCCTTTAATCCCACTACTTGGGAGACAGAGTCTGGATCTCTGTGAGTTCAAAGCCAGTCTGATCTGCTACCTTAAGTTACAGGCCAGCCAGGGATATATAATAGGACCTGTCTCAAAACAAACAAACAAAAACTAGTTAAAAAAAAAATGAGAAGTGGCCACAGCTGTGACTCAGTACTCCGGAGTAGAATCAGAAGGCTCAGTAGTTCAAAGCCATCCTCAGGAATATGGGACCTACTCTACTTCACAAATTAAA